ATATGGTATGATTGGTTTACGTCAATTTTTTGATGGGGATAAGCTGCTTATGGTTTTTGTTATGAAAAATTTGGGAGCTGGGTAAAACAAGAAGACAGTTCTGTGGTCATTCTTCTTAAGTGATGTGTGGAATGATGGTATTGTCAGTTATTTAAGATAGAATTGCTCATAACTGTATACTTCTGACACACTGGTTAGTAGTCTAGGCCCTTAGCAAAGCAAGTCCTTATACGATTGGTACTGCTAGTCAAATTTCCTCCTTTCACAAATTCTTCTTGCATTTGACTAACTTGACAATTACAATTTTAAATTTTAAAACAATATTCTAATTTTTATATAATATTAATGTTAGGAATTATAACAAATTGAATTGAATCAGATTTTAACTAAATTCAATTTGATTCATTTTTTAAATATATAATTTGTATTTGAATTAATAGCTTGATTCAATTTGATTTGAATTCTATTCAGATTTAATTTAATTTTATTCAATTTATATTTAATTTATATCTGATTTGATTTGATTCAATTCATTTTGTCAATATATATAATTTATTTTAATTAAGCTTATTTTTATATATTTTAATTAAAGCATACTTTTTTTAATTTAATTAAAAAGATTGTTAATTAAATTTTTTTTTATTTCTAAATATTAATTATTGATATAAATAAAATTTATTAAAATTACAAGATATTTAAAAATTTTTATATCCAGTTTATCCACAATCTATTATCATTTTCTATATTAATATATTTTTCTATATAATTAGTATTATTTTTTTCATTATTTTTTTTATCAATTTTTTAAGAGCTTGCAAAGCATATGAATCAAATTTACGAAAAAATAGGATTAAATCATAATAAAATACTATAAAATATTAAAAAAATTTTTATTAAACTTGCTTGTGATTTTTTTTTTTTGAATAATACCATTTTCTTTTTTGAAAACAATATATTAGGTAAAATATTATTTGTAATTAAATCGTTTTTTAAATTGAAATAAGAATTTTTTTTTATAATGTTTTATAGTATTATATATTGTTGCATGAAATGTGTTGAAAAAAAAACCATTTGTATTTAGAAGCATCAATTATTTTTATTTTTTTTTGGATGCCAGTCTCTTTCCGCGCATTTTTTCTTGGAAAAGAAATGTGCAAAAAAAAAAATCGGTCTTATAGATAAGATTTCTAATTGTATTTCTAAAAATATGTATATATAGTATATACTGTAAGTGACTTGAAAAATTTTTTTTTGCCAATTAGCAATTATACAAATTATCGTAATACTGTATATTGTAGGAATATGTGTATACGGTATTAATTATTGAATTGGAAATAAAAATAATGTAAATTCAATTTTTTCCAACATGTTTGCATATTATTAAAGAAAAATGTTTTTTATCTGTAAAGTTTTATTTAAATTGACATTTAAGTTTTAAATTAAATTTTAGGCGTGATTTTTTTTTTTAAACAAACGATACTTAAAATGAATCGCCATATTCTTGATAATATTTACATCATACCAATACGGTAATTGACTTCGTGTATAACTATAATGACCTTAATGGATAAAATCATTCGAAGTTGGCAGAAAGAAATGGGCAGTACATTGTTTACTCTCAATGTGATAAGGATATCTGGTCGTCCGAATAGTGATAATCATAGAAAACCAAATGTATTCTATAAAAGGCATAGATTAATTTGTAATCATATCCTTTTTTTGGAATCAGTTATTCTCAGATGATTCTCTATTTCAGGTCAAATTATTACGCGTAAACGACATTTTTTTGTGTTCAAACGAAAGCTATAAAACTCACTTTAATTTAACATCATTTCATCAAAAATTTGTAAAAAAAAAAATTTGAATAATTACCAGCCATGTCAGAAAAAACATCAGTTGACGCTTTCGAGAGTTTTCATAAAGGAGTTTTTCTAGTCCACGAAACGCTCCGTTCTGGTATGGACCAAATCCTGGAGGTAAGTAAATCAGATACAAGGGTTCGGAACGAAAAATTATCAAGTCCTAATAAATTTGATATTATTCAGCATGCACCCAAAGTTTCCTGTTCAGATGTCCCGAATTTTATTGGTTATGTTAAAGCCTTCATTGCCCATCTCACGACTCATCATGATCACGAGGAACTCATAATCTTTCCTGCAATCAAACCAAAAATTCCCATTGACGAATTTCTCGAAGACCACCGGAAACTTAATAAGGTGCTTAATAGCCTATCTGATTATACGACACAAGTTACCAAGAAAAAGGTGACTTACGAATCTGCCAAAGTTGTTGAGTTTATAACACAATTAGGCGATATCGTTCGTCCGCACTTAAAACACGAAGAATCCGTTTTTACCGTTGAATCTCTGAGGGAAAATATGACCAAGGAAGAACTTGAAAAAATTAACAATGACATCGCTGATTCCATTAAGAAGGAAGGTGGTGCAACCACTACTCTTCCATTCCTGCTTCATCATTTGGATCAAGAGGGCAGACAATTCATGGTCTATGATTCAATGCCTAAACCAGTTAGAGTCATTCTCCTTCCTGTATTTGTCAATTGGCATAAAGGCTACTGGAAATATGCTAAATATCAGTCCCTATAATGTATTCCAAAACACGCACACACAAAAAAAAACACGAAGGTCCAGTTTCCCAAGTCAATGTTCTATTTCTATTTATCATTCTGCATAACGTTAAAGTTTTAGGGTATAATTTATTTTAAATTAAAGAATAGTTCATGCCGTAAAGTTAATAGATCAAGACTATATGTATAAATTTTATTTGTTTTATTTATAACTATTAATATTATTACTATATACAAAGTCAATAAATACAATTGTATAATCTTGAACAACTACAATTTCTATTCATAATTTGAAAATAACATACGATAAATATTAAAATACTAATCCTAGTTAAATCTCTTATGATCAATGGTCGTTGTGTATAACACGGCAATGAATAGCTAATGTATTAATTATGCTTAATTGCGCATATGGTCAATTCGATAGGATAAGTTGTTCTTGCATTTCTAGTTCGATATCGAGGCCACATTACAAATTTTTATTACCACGCTAACTTTTTTTGTCCGAAGCAAAGCGTAGGAATTTAAAGGGAGATAACAAGCAGAAAAGTGATCATTTCTAATGTCCGACAATTTCTATAAATTATTTAAAATAAAAATAAATGAATCATATTATTGTCCGAAGGACACTCTAATGTATAGCAATAGTGATCCGAGCAGAGTTTTAGTTGCTATTTTCGGCCGCAGAGGGGGTGTTGTTTATGCACTACTCGTGCGGCACTTGTGCGTCACCTGTGCAGGCGTGCTTACAATGATTTCAAGTGAAATTTCCGAATTACGAAAATCCCTTAC